AGCCAAAGTCGGGTGCTTAACTGACTGAGCCACCCAGGCACCCCTACAGTTGACACATTTTTAGAACCAGGAGCTGAGCCACTTTAAAATTTATACTTTTAAAAAAATTTTTTGTTTTAAGTTTATTTATTTTTGAGAGAGAGACAGAGCAGAGGAGGGGCAGAGAGAGAAAGGGAAAGAGAGAATCCCAAGCAGGCTCCATGCTGTTAGCATGGAGCCTGAATTGGGGCTTGAACTTACAAACCATGAGATCATGGCCTGAGCTGAAACCAAGAGTTGGACACCCAACCAGTTAAGCCAGCCAGACACCCCAAAATTTGTACTCTTTACGAAATGTTATACATGTTGTCTTATCAGCTTAGATAGAAAGTACTAAAATATGGTTTCTGGAAGTTTTCTTTTTTATAACCAGGAGATATATTTCTGGAATTAGTTAAGTTATTTTTTGTAAGTTTATTTATTTATTTTGAGAGAGACAGAGACAACCCAAGTGAGGAAGGGGTAGAGAGAGGGAGACAGAATCCTAAGCAGGCTCTGTGCTGGCGGCACAGAGCCTGATGCGGGACTCGAACCCACAAAGCCGGGAGATCATGACCTGAGCTGAAACCAAGAGTCAGATGCTTAACCGACAGAGCCACCGAGGCACCCCTGGAATTACTTAAGTTCTTAGTGTCCCTCTGCCTCCTCCCACCCTCAGAGAATGCTGATTATAATTATGTAATCAATTATAATGTGGGTGGGGTACAGCCTGGGAACTGGGATTTCTGAAAACACCCCAGGTGATTCTAATGTGCAGCCAAGGTTGAGAACCACTGCTCTAGCAACAGGAAAGGTAAATACTATACAAAATATTCTCCTTTAACAGAGATAGAACATTGCAGATAAAGTTGAAGACCCCTTGGCCACTCTCCCCAGTGAAGTGGTGAAACACAAGGAGGACAAGAATAGGTATTATCCTAAAGGGGGAAAAATGGATGAGTCATGAGATAACTGCCTTCAAGCCCAGTATCAAATTTATTTTTATTTTATTTTTCTGTCCAGCGAAGTACAAAACTTGATTAGGATTAGGGATAAACCAGAAGAATAACTGAAAGATTGAAAATTAAGATTGGAAGAGATTAAGAAAGTTGGATTAATTAATCATTGGATGAAGAGTCAGATAAATCAGTCAAAAATATTTACGTACAAAGTGCTGTGGGGACTATAGATATTATAAAAGATTCCACTTTCAGAGAGCTTGTAATTGAGTTGATAAGATATAAAATACATGTAAAAAGTTATTGGTTATAATAATTGTAGAAACTCGGAAGAGGGGAAATCACTTCTGTTGGAGTAATAATGCTTATAAATTATAGCACTTTCCATTTTTCAAAGTGCTTTTATAGCCTTCATATAATCCTCATATCCTGTGAAGTCTGTTGGACAGATTTTAGTGAAATTATAGAGGTATATTTTATTAATGTAAACTCAAAGAACAGAAATGATATTGCTAATATTACCAAGAGAACAAATGGCAGGTATAAGAATAACTAGAATGCGGGTCTCCTTATTTGGTTCACTTTCTGCTCTGCAGCAGAAACAACCAGAGTTGAGCTGAGCCTTGAAGAATGAACAAGTCTTGCATAGGCAGAGAGGCCGTGAAACGAGAGCATTCCAAGAGTGGGAGATGGCCATCCACCTGTTCGAGGACCAGCGAGCTGAGCCGGGCTGCAGGAAGGAAGGAAGGCCAGACTCCGAAGGGTCTTCGGAGCTCAGTTAACCCTTGGAATTTACATTTAGGTAAAGGAGAGCTAGTCAAGATTGTTGCAGAGGGCTGAGATATGAGGACAGTGGCATTTTCATGAGCAGGAGGAAGTGAGGGAGATTAAAAGAAGAAACTAAACCACTGAACTGGAGACTTTGGCCATAAGAACGTGTATTGACGGAATGGTCTCTCGAATGACTTCTCATATTTCTTCATATACTCTGATATAGATTTTGCTTGAAAGAATTAAAGAGGTCCAGTATGATGGATGATTCTGTAAGGATCTTTCCCGATGTATAACTTTACAAAAAACAAATAGGAAATTGTGTATTTTGTAGATGACTGTGTGACACCGCAGTGACCACTCTCTGGCCTGCCACAATGGTTATCCCAACTAAAATTCAAATGTTTCTAGCCTTGCATAGTTATTTCTTGCCTACCTCATAGATTGTTAAATGCAAGAAGGTAATATATGGAAAACACTTGGTACTGCCTCTCACAAACTAATTGGTCAATGAATGTTGGCTATTATAGTTTTCAAACGTCCGGATCTTTTCCTTCATGATTAAAAATTTTCTCTCCCTGCCCGCGTGGAGTCGTGGCACCGAGCTTAAGAGCAGAGAGTGGAGTCCGACAAGCTTGAGTTCAATGATTATGAGATAGCCACAAACTCTCTGAGACCCAGTTTCCTCATCTATAAAATGGGGATGATGATACTAACCGTTTTAAGTTATTATAAAGGCTAAGTGATATACTGTATCCAGAATGGTCATTGTGTAGCAGTTTCTCAGTACACAGTGGCCGCTGTTTTTATCTTTGATTCTACACAAATATAATGGTTGGGATAATAATTGTAAACCTTTCTGAGAATTTTTCATTTATCCTATGTATATTTGGAGTTACTTAATACGCCGTGAATTATAAGAATAGGGTTGGGGGATACACAGTGAGTGAAATGCAGCCTTCCACCTTCTTTCAGTGGGGAGCATTTTTTCTTTTTTTTAGTAATTGTGGAAATGTTACTTTACTGCCCAAAGTATGTGAAATCAGCTAAGGAAACGCACACAAACAAATGTGAGTCATGGTCAAAATCTCAACTTTTTTAAGCAGATAGAAAATAAAACAGTCCATCTTTTGGGTTTTCATAAATGTATAGAGTAAAAACATTTTTACTTTGTTTTAAACACATATTTAAAAGATACTTACATCATAATATACACCCTGACCTGGCCAATTCAAGGCTTTCTTCTTTGAATCCATTGGAAAATCAAGCAGTTCATATCTGTAAGGGTTACCTGAAATTTTCAGGAAGAGAGCTGTTATTCTGAATAAGCAATAACAGTTTTCTATGAATGGGATTTTGGGGTGCAATAAACAGAAACAAGATGATAGGAGATAGAGAGGAATGAGGGTGCATATTTTAGCTAGTGTATTAGAGCATTGCTTGAATTCTTGCTCGCCTTAATGAGCAGCATGTGGGCCACACAGAGCAAGAATGAGTCTCTAACCCGAGTGTTGCCAGCAATATGAGGGGGCAATGGAAATGTACCTTTCTTGTTAACGAAAGGGATTCTTAGGTAAGTTATAACTTTTAAGTTTAAGTTTTCCTACGTCCTCTTTTGGTCTCTGAAGGCTTAGTAAATACATTTCTGTACTACTTGTTTTGGGCTTTCCCTGCTTAAATATCAAGAAATAGAATTAGTATTTGCTTACCAAAAAGGTACTGAAAGAGAACATTTTAAAGAATGTGGCTTCTTAGGTATTAGTGGTGGTTTGATAAGCTTTATCAGATATAGCATGGTCTCCTCTGGTCCTGTAAGAAGTTCCACATTAAAGAATGCTCTGGGGCACCTGGGTGGCTCAGTCAGTTAAGTGTCTGACTATAGATTGTGGGTCAGGTTTGTGAGTTCCACGCTGGCAGTGTGGAGGTTGCTTGGGATTCTGTCTCTCTTGCTGTGCCCCTCCCCAGCTCACTCTCTGTCTCTGTCTCTCTTTCTCTCTCTGTCTCTTTCTTTCTCTCTCTGTCTCAAAGTAAATAAACTTAAAAAAAAAAAAAAGAATGTTCTGAACATCCATCCTCATATGTAATAAGAACAAAGGCTGGCATATATTGAACATTTACTGTGTGCTAGTACTGTACTAAGTGTTTTATATATACACTCACATTGCTATGAATAAGGTACAATTACTTCCACTTTAACAGATGAGGAAACTGAGGCACAACAAAAATAAGCAATTTGCCTAAGATCACACAGCTAGTAAGCGGAATAATTCAAACTCAGGCAATCTGGTACTAAGGCACTCTTCTATGTCTTTCTATTAAAGAAAAGTTCA